ACCCGAGGCGTCCGGGGGTCGCGGCGCCAGCACGAGAGGAACTAAGCTGGCCAGGAAGAGGAGACGCTGCCTCATGTTCCTGGCACGGCCACCGGTCTACTTCTCTCGGCAGCCCTTCGCGCACGGGGTTTCGGAAAACTGCTCACATGGAGGGAAGGAAGGGGAACCGCCCAACCTGTGTCTCGCGGTGCGTCTCGCTGAGGTTGGGCTGCCGCCTGCCTAGCCACACCTAGCGACGTCCTGATTCGACCCAGCCCGACCTCTCCTCTGTCCCCGGGTGACCGCGGAGGGAGGAGGCGGGAGCTCTCGAACCGCCTTCATCTAAATAGCCACATGGATTAGGAGCCCTGTTCACCTTTTCGCAGGAACTGGAAGGTGCGCTCTGCGTCTGGCCGCCGCGTCCGTGGAGGACCAGGACCCTGGCTCGGTGTCGCAGGCCCTGCCCCGTTTGCTCGGGTGCGGTCGGTGCGGGCTGCGAGTCCAGCCTCGGCGCCCTAGGAACGCGGTCCGCACCTCCACGCCTGCCTAGTGTGCTTGGCCTCGGGTGCAGATCAGATGCTCAGCTGGGCAACAGACCTCAGGCTCAAAATTTTCACAAAAAACGATTGGGGGGCTGGAGGCGTGGTGGTGCACACCTATAACCCCAGCCGTGTGGGAGGCTGAGGCAGGAGGATTTCTAGTTGGAGCCCAGACTGGGCAACTCGGCGACTGTAGTTAAGACCCTGATCCTAAAAAGGGGTGCTGGGTGGGTGACGGAGTGAATAGGTGCTCCGTGAATACACATTTGCTCCTTTGTTTCACTGTGGGCAAATGGTCCGCAGCTGACACCGTGCCAGTGAGGACAGGAGCTGGACTCAGCCCACTTAAGATTTCAATCCTCTACTTGGTCTGTTTAGCTTGGACTTGACATTTCTTAAGACATTACTTTGCACAATTTTAGCTCTGTGTAGTTCAGTATTTATGGTACTGAATAAAACATTTTAACAAGGTTGGTTGCAAATTGTTATTTTAGCTCAGCTAAAGTTTATACTAGTAAGACCCAACACATTTTCCACTTAAAAGTGGGACAGCCAGTATTATGAAATGGTTAAATTGTTAGCAATAAAATAATAGTCCTGGTCAAGCTTCAAGCCTTGTTCCAAAAAAAAAAAAAAAAAAAA